ATTTTTAGAGTTGGACTCTATCTTTAGTTATAACTTTTGTTACTATAATCATTCATGTCCATAATTCAAATCTGGATATAGAATATGGATTTGATACTCGATGACGTTGACATTTTCCTACCTCTTTTGTAAAATGACTATATTATCTATTTGTCTTGATCAGTTTCAAAAATTGAAAATTATTAGGAACTTATCAACATGGATTTTGATGACAGGACATAACGATCCATTTGAATATAGTTCAACTGATAAATATTATAATTGCTATTGCTCAATTCATAAGTATGGTCCGTTTAAATATAGCTTAATTGATAAATATTAAAATTAATAATAAATTTGTTTAGACATTTTTTATTGAGTTGATTTAATCAACTAAAATCAGCCCATAAACTCCTTTTTCTTAATTAAAAAAATGAAAATATATTTGGGTATTATCTTTTTTTTTTTTTAAAAAAAAAATTAAGATTTTTTAATTTTTTTAAATGACATTTGACCATATTTTATTATTTATCACAATTAATATATAAAATACAATTTAGGTTAAAATTTAAAATATATTAAATCTAGCCACTAAATTTGTCATTCTCATAAAACTTTATTATTAAAATTTTATTTTTTTAATTCAACAAATCATCGATAAAATAATAATTAAATTTTGTCTATCGAGTTATTTTCGAACTATCTATAAATTATATCTTTCATAAATCGGATCGATAATTAATATATATATATATATAATTTATAAATTATTTGCATTTTGCAACTTAATGAAAAGTTTAATTATTAAAAATATATTTAAATATTGGGAATTATTGGCATTTAGGCACAAAAAAAATATTTAAAAATAATTTTTCCTATTACAAGAATTTAATAAAGAAAATTCAAATTCATTAATGAAATTAAAATTCTTTCACATTTTAAATTAAATTGAAAAAAAAGGTAATATTTTGAAAAATGGTGGAAGGGGTTTGTTATAAGGCGGCTGGCTTCCAATTCATTTTCTCTCTCATATTTTCTCGGTCAATAATTTTCCTCTCTCTCTCTCTCTCTGCTTCCTGTCCTTTTCGTCTCTGTTCTTCATCAGCACCATCCGCCATTGTTATAAATCCTTCTCTTCTTCCCCGTTCTCCAACTAACCCTAAACTACTTCCATAGCCGGACCTCGGAGATTCCTCATCCCCGTTCGCAATGGAAGTGGCGGTTCCGGTTCTTCCCGTAGACTTCAACTTCGACAGCGCCTGCTCTTCCCCTTACATGACCGCTCCTTCCAGTCCTCAGCGCTTTGGAAACTTCTTCTTCTCCAGTGCTCCGACCTCTCCCTCACACGCTGCCGCATTCTACTATGAATACAAGGAGTTTGGTTCTGGCTATGGCGATGGAAGGATTTCTTCGGCGTCGGATATCCCTTTCCTGTGGGAGGAGATGCCTGGAATTGCGAAATCTGGAGGCGATTGTTGTAGTAGTGTTGCTGATGAGGATTTTGAATTCGATTTCAGTGGACAATTGGAGCGGACTTCTTTGTCGGCTGAGGAGCTCTTCGATTGTGGTAAAATTAGGGCTCTGAAACCTCCGCCGTGCCATCGAGTGACTGATTCGGTTTCCTCCAGTGCTATGTCGCCTAAATCGCCGAGATCGGTGAAAATTGCGCAGGTATAGCAGAAATTCATCGAAAATAGAACTCTGCTTTCGATATCTGTGTTTTTTCCCCCAAATTTACTGAACATTTCGATATCTATAGGGAAAGAGAATGGTTCAAGAAGCTTTCTCTCCTCGCCACCACCGCCGGAGAGATACAGATCCATTCGATAAGGCTCTCAAAGCAGCAACACAAAGAAACAGCGACGGAAAGCGAGGCAGAGAAAGAACAAATATCTCCGCCTCCTCGCGGTCGTCTTCATCCATAAGACGCAGCGGAAGCCGATCGTTATCTCCACTCCGTGTCTCCAATAACATTCTCGATTCCGACCTAGAAATGTCAGATAAATCCGGCATTTCTTCCGTCACAAGCAACGACAAACACTCAATCTCATCATCATCGGCCTCATTCCTCTCCACCTTCTCGTTCTCCAGAGGACAGAGAAGATGGAGAATCAGAGACCTGCTACTGTTCCGAAGCGCATCAGAAGGGAGAGCGACGGACAAGAAAGCTGTAGAGGAGATGAAGAACTCAAGCTTCCGATCGATGGAGAGCCTGAGTTCGGTGTCAAGCTCGAAAAGGCGAGGGCCGATTTCGCCTCACGAGTTGCACTACAAAACGAACAGAGCAGTTTCAGAAGAGCTGAGGAAGAAGACGAGCTTGCCGTACAAACATGGCCTCTTGGGCTGTTTAGGATTCAATTCCAGTATGCAGCGCAGTTTCTCCAGAGGATTTGGCTCGCTCGCACGTGCATGAAATATTCCCTCAAATAATTAATTTGATTCAATATTTTATTCCAATTAGACCTAAGATTTGCAATTTGTAAATTTATCCATACTAAAATATACCTAAATTGTTTAAGAAATTAGAAAAATGTTCAAAATTTTCGGTAATCTTATATCTTAATTTGAATCCATTGACAGTCATCCTAAATATTCTCCAAAATTAGTTCATTTTGAGTTAATGAAATTATCATTTTTGTCATAACCACTAGGAGTATTAATTGACCATTGTCGGCATAGTATAGATAAAGACTAATTTTGATGCCAACTTTTAGTAGAGAATACACTCATTTGAATATGTTAAACTCGAAAAAGAAAGAAAAAAAAAGCGTCATCTATAAATACTCAAACTGCAAGGAGTATTAACCGACCGATAACGAAGAGAGCGTTCGTTGTCATATTTGAAACTGACATTAGCAGACAAGTATAAAGTAGTGTTTTTTTTCCTACTTATAAATATTTTCTTTAAACGAATAATTTTGTTATGCTTATATATGATATAATATGAATATGTCTGGATGATTAAAGTACTTTCTTTTTTATTTTTCAAAGAAGTTAATAAAAAAAATGTGATTATGTTATGATATTTAAAAATTGATATGTGGTATAATGTATAAAAGCATTGAAGGCACAAAGTCTATGGGAGCATATCATAGGGAAGAAAATTGGTAGCCGTAAGCATAAAAATTCAACAAAGTTGGTATCAATGGCTTAGACGTAGTAATTGAATGAGGGGGTAATGGGTATTAATTGCATACCACATTTAATATTCACGTTTCTCTAACTTGATGTAGGGTGGCTATTATCATATTCACCCGTTTAATTTTTAAAAATTAGAAATCAACAAATAATCAAATGAACTCGTATAATTCTGACACCCATATAAATGAATAGTACATGAAGTAACTAAGACCACGTCTAAATAAGAACAATCTTAAAAATAAGATGACTAAGAAATGCTTAAAATAATTGAAAGTCACTATCTATTCTAACGAGGTGCATCTTCCATTTTCGATGACTAAATCATACAAATTTCATGTGAATTAGGACAAAACATGCTGAAAGGACTTGTGTTGGCTTATGGAGATAGTTTTCACTCTTAAGAAGCGAAAAGTAGGTAACATAATCATATTGCAAGAGAATGTTGGGGTTATTAGGTACCTAATCTGAATTTCAACGTTAATCTATTCCCTATTTAGTTATTTTGATTTCTTCGAGGTAAACAATCATAAGCCATTTAAAGGAAAAGAAGGGGGAGAAAATGGAAAGCATGAGCATGATACCATAATGATAAATGATGATATCAATAATTACATTCTAATACATTTGGAGAACATTTTTCAACAATTCTTCAAAAATAAAAATCAAAGAAAAAATCAAATTTGCAACATATATATATATATCCATATAAATTCCAAATGGAACTAAACTAAAAGTTGTTGGGCCAAATTTAGCGATAAATGTTGAACTTTTTATGGACAAAAAGAGAAGGAACTTGTAACTGCTCAAGCCCACTGCTACCAAATATTGTTATGTTTGGGTTTCCCCGAAATTTTTTTAATACGCGCTGGGGAGAGGTTTCTACACTCTCATAAGAATGATTCGTTCTCCTCTCCAATCGATGTTTGATCTTACGATTCATCTTTCTTTGGGGTACAACGTCTTCACTGACATTCGTCCTTCTCTCCAATAGATGTGATATCTCACCGGTCGAAATTTAGAGGGGGAAATAATAGTTTTTTAAAAAATAGAAATTTAGTTTTTTTTTTTTTTTTTTTTTTTTTTTTTTTTTTTTTTTTTTTTTTTTTTTTTTGAATAAAAGATTTAAGCAGCCTTATTGGAGCACGCCAAATCATTAACGTGTAGCATTTATTTAATCACGCCAAACCCACGTTTTTGTTCTTTTATTAATTATTAAACTAATTGCAATTATTAATTATGGGTTTTTGTTCTTTTATTAATTATTAAACTAATTGCAATTATTAATTATGGGTTTTTTTATTCTAAAACTCTCTTTTTTGTTTTTCCTTTTTACAATCATCCATTTTTCTTTCCAAATTATTAATCGACTTCCGATTGATTATTGGTTATTTTGTCTCAATTTAATTTTAATTGTTTCTTCAAACCTCACAAGTTAATTTCCAAGGGAGTAAGTATTGGTTAGTGTGAAATCTCACATCGATTAGAGAGAGGGGTGTGAAAACCTCTCCTAGCATACTCATTTTAAAATCATTAGGCTAAAGACAATACATAAAGAACAAAAGAACCAGACGTGTGTCAACGAGAATGCTGACTGTCAAGGGAGTGGATTGTGAAATCCCATATGGGCTAGAGAAGGAAATGAAACATTCCTTATAAGAATATGAAAATCTCTTCTTAACAAACACGTTTTAAAACCGTGTGACTGACAACGATATATTTGACCAAAACAAACAATATCTACTTGTAGTAGGCGTTAACAATCATGAACTTCTAAAAGTGTGTATGCTTCTTTGATTGATGATCTATACTGAAACCCATGAAAAAGCCTATAGATATTCACATCAACTAAGAGTAGAGCTATAAAGATACGAATTCACAGCTTAATCTCAACTACTTGATCAACCATTGCTACCAGAATGAGGATTAGTATGAATGAACTAGAAAATTACAACACAAATGCAAAGCTTTAAGATTCAAGGCAAGGAGTTTGAATGTCAAGGACATGAAAATGCAGAATATAAAACAAGGGGTTGGTTGATGACTAACATTACTGTATATAACAAGTCGGCACAAACCAGTTGAAGTCCTTTTGTGATGGATGAGCTGACAAAAAGTTAGTTCATCTAGGATTTCATGCTCTCAATTATCCTGTGAATACAAAGAAAAACCAGGCAAGGGCTGAATTAATTGTCAATCAATATGTATAAGCAGCTTCTTCTGTTTTTCCTCTTTAACTGCTGTTTCACCTTGTATAAGCCCTTGGTTTCTGAACAGAAGATACCGCCATAGCCGATACTAGGGAGATTTCTTCACGTCCATGTGCTTTCGACAGTACACGATTCTGCTCAATCGAGAAAGCAAGATCGTTTCATGCCTGCAAATTGATTGACCATGGATTTTCTTCCCTCAAATGATTCTCATAGTTTCAGAAAACCAAGCATATACATGGATGGAGCAAATCTTAGACAGACTATATCATATTCCTGGTGACGAATGAATGCATGTAAACCCCACAATAAAGCAGCAATATATAAGAAGAACAAGGTGATAGAGGAACTTGTAAAGCTTTGGGAAGTTCCATACAGTAATGCTCTTCCAGCTCATGTTAAGTAATCTATATGACCATAAAGAGAGAAATCAGTTTACAAGTGGGAGAGGGCGGAGATGTTGCAAACTTGAGATGGTAGAGAAATTTACTTGAGACAACGGCCTATTTCAAGGCAATTTGTAAAGGCCGAGAAGTGGCTTCTCCCTCTGTTCAACTCTCTTCTTTGCAGCCTCCCTTGCTTTAAGTGCAGCCTTTTCTTCTTCAGATATGACCTTTTGCTTCTCATTTGGCCTCTTCCTCTTACCAACAGCAATCGATGAAGGAGCACCTTTAACCGATCGCTTGGGTTTTGAAGAAGCTGAAACAACCAACCCAGGCGGAGGCCCGCTTTCCCCTTTATCCACATTTTTGTCTTTTGTAGCTGCACTTGCAGAGGCCGACGATGGGTTCTCTAAAACTGGTTTCTTATGTTTGGAGTTCAAGAAAAACTGAGGCGAAGCATGTGCCTCTTCCTGTGTTACCCACTTGCCTGTTGCAGACATTTAACTTGGTAAGCAGCAAATACTCGTATTCTAAAACATAAAAGAAAAATGAGAGCTCAAAGTTCATTATCCCAAAATCCATTTCAGTACCAATAGCATCAGAGTAGTAGAAGCCGGAATTTGAGTCATAGTAAAAACCATTGCTTTCATTGTAATAATAGCCTGTAGTGCTGTCAAGCTCCCATTCTGTTATCATTGAGAGCTGTATCAGTTTGAAGAACGCTAGAGTTCAAAATGATAATAAACGATAACAATCAGTTACAGGCTCACAATGGGTACAAAAAGAATTATCCGAATGGACAAGTTGATGGATCAAAGAGATCAAATATAAAATGTTCGTCTTCCCTTCCCCTTCTTTCTTCGTTTGTTATTAAGGGAATATCATGTTTCTTGCCAAAGAAAAGAAAAGCACAGAGGAACAAAACTAAAGCAGAAAATAATTAAGCAAGCCTTCTGCAAGCATACTGAAATCGTTAGTGGTTAGAACTTAAAAGAACAATGTGTCATGTTCCCTAAAAGACCCAATTTATTGACTATCTATTGAACACTCATGCTAATAATGTGCACGTAATATTATGACCAATTACAAGGACCTTTCACTCAAGTAGATCAGATTGTCACAGAAATCAATGGAATGATATTCTCCAAGCATTGTCAATAGATACTCATAGGCGCATCCAATACAAGACATCTATTTTCATAAAGTTACGGAGAGAGATATAGACGCTTATTTCTTAAAACTAATAAAATTGCAACACTTTGGTACTTACTCTCTTCATTTTCTTGAACATCAACAGGAAGTGCATGAGAATCTCTAGCTTCCCGGAAATTTGCTATGTCCTTCTGATAACTACGCTTAGCTTTCTGCCACATTGAGAAAAAAAATTAACAATGTAAGAATATAAAAGTTCATTGATCAAGCACAAACTTGCTCATACACAATGAATATACTAAGGCAATACTCTCGGAGGACTCTCTTTCCACATATGTGATCTTCATGTATTTCGCACTTACCCCTGTTATTTAAAGTTTCAGCAACTTCATGTCTCTTCTTTATCACTGATAAAAGTATACATATCACAACCCCATTAAAATGAGCTCACTAGACAAGAAAGTTGCTAGAGATTGGCAGGCTAGCTTCATAAGTGGACAAACATACTCAGAAAGGATCTTTTTTTTTAGGGATAAGATACTCGATCGTTAAATTAGTTACAGTAGCACACTACTATCGATGCTTACTAGGCGCATACATCAGACTCAAATGCTCATATTATATACTCACAGTAAGAATCTTATGTACAATTATTAGTTACTAAGAACACTTAGAAAAACTACATGAAATTAACAGGTCAAGTTCAAATCAGAAACTATATTCATCTTTCACAATTCACTAATTCAATAACCACAAGCTAACCTTCGTTGAGCTAAAGGTTAGGATGCATGTAAACAGCTTGGTTCCTTTGCAGTACTGATGCGAAGCAAGCAGATAGTTTAACTTTATGTCTTTAACCCAATCCCTATCTACAATAAAGTTGACATGAGAATTCATGATTTTGAGTACATTAAGGCTTACATTAATACTTCTCAATTGAACCAAGCCACCAAGATTTGAAAACTAAAACAGATGCATACCAATATACTCTAGGTCATCCACAAAGATGGGACGAATAGAAAGTTTATTCACTTACTGCCTCAATTTGCTCAACCGCGCGTACTGCTTCCTTTTGTTCCTTGTCCTTGGCAGCATTCTCTTTTCTCATGTTTGCAAGCCTTTTGGCAACATTGTCCTTATGACGTTCTCCGAGCTCATGATTCCGGATTGTGGAAGGATTATTTGAAATAAATATTTTGCAGAAGTCGCACCATTTGTTACCTTGGCTAACCCAATACTGTGGAAGGGATAAAACAAACAACGTTTAGCAGTCCTGCTTCCATAGATAATCATTCTAACTAAAATATGTGTTTATCCGCACAATTGAACTTCCAAACACTGTAAACATAAAAAATATAAGATAAAAGACGTCAATCCCAAAATGTGAATCAAAACCCAAACAACAATTTAAAATAAAAAAGATCCTAATGGAAAGTGAATATGCACACACAATGTACGTATGTATGCATGTAGACGTACATATAAATGTATACATGAAGCAAACTACAACTTGTACCAAAAATTGAAAACCGATCTGGCATCACAACCAACATAAACGAGAAGCAATAGTTCAATTCTCAAATGCAAAAGTTTTCCGGAACTACACATTATAAATGCTTTCCAAAACTAATGAATGAAGCAAAAAAGTAAGAACATAAAATAGGAAAATAATTTGCCTCTCTCTCTCTCGCCCTCTTATCAATACAAAAGATCAACCAACAAGCGAAGTTTACCAAATAGTGATAAGGATCAATGTGTTTCAAATGTTTCAACTGGATCTATTACATGATCTAAGACCAAAAAAATTCAACAAGCATTCATTATTCATTATTCATCTACAAAATTGGATAGACTCGGTTCAACCTCAATTTCATGTGTTACAAGTTGATTCGATTGAGAAAGGATAATTTGGAGTTTCAAAAATGAATATTTGCATGGTTGAACTAGAGGATGAGGTTGCTATACATAGCACTTGATTGATTATTTTTTTGAAAACTTTATTATTTTAGTTCCATGACTTCTTGCAGTGGACAAAACGGTGGAAAGTTACTTGTCAAAATGGTCATAACCTCTTCTTTTAGTGGACATTTGAAGGGTAGTTGAGAGTAACTTACAAGGCCACAAACTTCTTTTAGTGGGCATTTGAAGAGTTTGGAGTTTCTTTTGTGGAGAGACTATAAATACCCACAAATTCGTACGTAAAAAGCAGATTTTTAATGGATGAAATTGAACTCTAAAGGAGAGACTTTCACCTTTAGAAATTTGAGCATCATTTTTGTCATTTCTAAGTTTCAAACAATTCTTGGGTAGATTGCATTCAAGTCATTCAATCAAGTCTCGATCAAGTTCGATTATAGAGTAACTCAATTTAAAACAAGTGTTAAGAGGTAACCTAGTTATAGCATTATCTCTTACAAGTCTTTGATCTTAAGAGGTAACCTAATTATAGCATTATCTCTTAGTTGATCCGAATGTTGTATAACGAGATGTTAATTTTTTTGATTCAAGGTTTATTACTCCAACAAAAGCGGGATGGTTGGGCTGAGGATTAAGATTTCCTTATCAGGCAGTCAGATAAAAACCAAACAATCAATCAGCAAAAAGCTAGAGGAAAATGCCAATCTTTGAATCACAATAACATTTCGCGACAAAGTTTACATCTGCAAGATGGGGCCAGAATTATATTACACATACGGTTGAATATCCATGTGAATTTTCCACATGGAAAGAAATCGAGTAGCTTAGCTGCTCGAGATCCTTTGAAGTTCATCAAACAGTAAATATAAGCAAGAAATCCAGAAAAAAAGGTTTAGCAAAAAAAAAAAAAAAAAAAAAAAAAAAAAAAAAAAAAAAAAAAAAAAAAAAAAAAAAAAAAAAAGAATTGAAGAAATGAGTACCTCAGTCATGTTTCAGCGCCTCGCAGAATATCAAAATCTGTGAGCAGTGCACACTGGAAGCTGTACTGAACGCAAAGATTGAGCCAATTATCAAGCGTGTAGCGGAAATATGTTTCGAATTCGAAGAAATTGATTCCGGGAGATTGTATGAATGAAATCTTAAACCCTAAATCTCCCGCTCGAAGTGTAGATCCGTTGATTTTTGGGGATCAAGAACATTCGGGTTCGTAAAGAAGCGGGTCGTCGATGAGTTCTGTTCTAGCATCAACCCGGCGGCGGGACGGATGAGATGTGAATTTGCAATTCTATTATTATTATTTTATTTATTTATTTATTATTATTATTATTACTATTATTATTATAGCTAGAAAGAGCACAAAACTAAGGACCAAAAAAGTATTTTTTTCCTCAAAAACAAATTTCACACTTTTAATATCAATTTCAATAAATGTATCTTAAAATTTAAATTCATTAGAAATACATAAATATAAGGGTAAAAATAAAAATAATAATTTTAATTTTAGTAAATCATTCAGATTTAAAATCTGGCATATAAAGTTAAATAATAAAGCATATTTTAAAAAAATATTGACTAATGAAAATAAAATGAGTTAAATAAAACATATATAAGGTGAAATATGAATTTTTCTACCTTCTATAAGAAGGTAAGAAAAAAAATAAATGAATTTGTCATTCATCAGAGAAAGGATTTGAACTTCTAACCCGTGTCAAAAATGTTACGATTAATTAAACTATGTTTAAATCGACTATCACCCTCATACATTCAAAACACGAAAGACAGAACGAACAGTTCAATTCCATTTGTGCATTTGTTCTTCTATGTTCTCTCTTGTCTAGCGCTCAATATTAGAAGAAACCACCAGAAACAGAACAACAGTTCAATTCCATTTGTGCATTTCTTCTGAAACCTCCCCTTCATCACCACCAACCTTTTGTCTGTCGACTCCCTTTGTCCACGCTCTTTCTGTTCTCGACGATTCCAGCTGCAGCTCTTCTCGTGGCTCATTTTGAGTTTTGGGTCATAGGAGCCATCGTCGGTTTTAGCTAGATGGAACATCAATTCTTCCGTGCGAGAACACAAACCTAACTTCTAACCTCTTTTTCTGTTCTCTTCTTCTTGACCGTTACACGCGTCGTCTCTCTTCCTTTATCGCTTCTCGGGGCATTAAGATGGTAGAAAGAAGAATAGCCAACCAACTGAAATCTCTGGCAAACGAAGGGAAGCCATAAGCTTATGACGCTTACTTCCATTCTATCTTCATCTTCTCAAGATATTCAATAGATCGGTTCTTGACATTACTAAATAGTTCTTTCACTTTATTCTTGAAGTCCTCAAGTGAGCAGAACTGTATGGTAGTAAGCCACTGTGAGCCATATCTTTAATCACATTGAAAACTGCATCCATGTTACCTTCTTTATTGTTGATATCAACGAGTACCTTCGCAAGCTCGGCATCGGTAATCTTACAGCTTTTCAGCGTGTATTCAAGAACTCGATTCAACTCTACATCTTTGCCTTCAGCAAACAGTAAGTTAGCCAAAGCCATAATAGTCACAGAGTGGGGAACGAATCCAGATTGTAACATTTCCTCGTACAAACTGTAAGCTTTTTCGATATTTCCAACTTTACTGTGACCGTGTGTAATGACGTTATAAACTGCCTCGTTGGGTTCGTAACCTTTCTGAAGCATAGACTCGAAAACTCTGTCTGCTTCATTCATCAAACCCTTCATACAGAATCCCTTCATAAGAGCCAACGCACTCTTGAACTCTAAATTGTTACAGTTATCTATCAGAGTGTTATATGTGATTTCATTTGGCACAGACTCTTCATATAATAACTTCAGCAGAAGCCTCTTCGCTTCCTTGGTACGAGCTTGCTTATTTAATCCGTTAATAAGCACATTATAGGTAACAATATCAGGTAAGAACCCCTTTTTTATCATCTCATCGTGCAACCCGAGAGCCTTATCTAAATCGCCTTCAGTACAGTAAGCATTGATCAAAGATGTGTAAGTAACTTCATCAGGAGACAAGCCAACACTTACCATTTCTTGAAAGAGATCACAAACTTCACGAAGTCTTCTCTGCTCACAAAGACCTTGAATTAGTGATGAATAAGTTACTGTATCAGGAGAAATACCCTTAGCCACCATCTCTACTTTCAGTTGAAAAGCTTTCTCCAATTCTCGATTCCGACAAAAACCTGAAATAATGGTACTATAGCTCACGACATCGGGCGTAAAACCCTTCTCTGTCATTTCTTGAAGGAGTTCAGCAGCCTCTTCCATCCGCCCTAAGATACAGTGCCCATTAATGAGAGTATTATAGGTAACAATTGTAGGGGTGAATCCATTCTCAATCATTTCTTTCATAACCTGGTATGCTTGGTTTAGTAGTCCCTGTTGAGAAAATCCATCGATCAATGTAGTATACGTCCTCCCATTCGGACGTAGTCCCCTATCTCGCATCTGGTCCAAAAATTCCATAGCTCTATTCAAATTACCAGCCTTGCACATGCTATTAATCAAAGTTGTGTAAGTAACGACGTTCGGTGACAAACCATTTTTCACCATCTCTGCGTGCAACACAAGTGCTTGATGAAAATTACCTTCCTTACAGTAACCATTTATAAGTGTATTCAATGTCACCTCATCAGGAACATATCTTCTTTTGTTCATCTCCTCGAGAATGTCGCTCGTCTCCTTCATTCGTCCTTCTCGACACAACCCATTTATCACCACATTGTATGAAATCAAATTTGGCTCCAAGCCTTTGAATGCCATGGATCTCAATAACCCGAACGCCTCATCAATCTTCCTCAACTTACAATAAGCATCAATTATGGTATTATAAGTAACCACATTTGGCAGACACCCATTTCTCTCCATTTCACCAAAAAAAGACAACCCCATTTCCAAATTCCCAGCAGCACAAAACCCGCGAATCAAAATGTTATATGTATACACATTGGGGGAAACACCACATTCTATCATCTCCTTAAAAACCCCCTCCGCGAACTTAACCGATTGTTTAGTCCTAATTACAGCATCTAACACAGCATTATAAGAAAGCACGCCCGGCATAAACCCATGAGATTTCGCTAAATTAACAATGTTCAAAGCCTTATTAATCAAATTAACGCGAGAACATGACTTAACTACAAGATCGATTACCGCAGAGCTGGAATTGCACAGATGATACGAGTCCTTAAGGCATTGAAAGAGTTCGGCGCCAGTTTCATCAATCGTATTGACCGCGACTTCCTCAGCTAGGGATTGCGCCGTCTTGTAGAGTTTGAAGCGAGTGAGGATGTGGAGAGCGAGGCATTTGCATTGGAAGGAGAAGAATCTTTGGGAACGTGCCCAATCGAGGAATTTGAGGACTAGATTTTGATCGAATTGGGATTTTAGGAGTAAATTGGAGGAGGCTTGGGGAGTGAAGTGGGAGGAAAGAATGGCGAGCTGATCTGGGTGGCGCCGGAGATAGACGATGGCTTTGTCGGCGAGAAGAGCGTCGGCGGGAGAGCAGAGAGTGGATATTGAGCGGTAAAAATGGGGTTTATTGAGGAGCATACTGCGAACGGAGATGGATGAGGGCTAGGGTTTCACCGACAAAAGGGAAGGAGGTTCAGAGCTACCCTAATTTATACGTTTTCCCATCAGGTTTCCCGGCCAAAGCTGAAGTTTTTAAAATCCAAAAAGGCTCTAGTCTCGTTACTAATAACACTCTGCTAGATCGTTACTAGTGGGCCTCTTATCTATTCTTCTCTCGATATCGGGCCCTGTCTTATTGTCGAGTTATCAAATCGAAACTAATCACTTGCTATTATAAAAAAAAAATACGAAAATCCAAAACAGCGGCTACAACCAACGCACTCTATCTAGAGAGTCGTCGGTGATTTCTTTCTGAACAGGAGATTGAGAGGTCTTCTTCGAGTATTGAAAGAACGAAACTCTTGCTCTTTATAGGGTGTTTAGCAAGTCTGACGACCCTATTTCGGAAGAAAAAAAGAGATGGAACTAATTCAAGCCATCAAAGAATGAAGGTAGAGGACGAGAAAGGTAAAGAGAATGGGTCATTGTTGGTGCATAACAGAGTTTTCCTATCAACCTTCTTTCTCAATGTATAAGCGAGGCTTAGCCTTCGTGTATTTTTAGTCAATTTTGGGTCACTGGAATGATTAAAACCTATGGAGTAAAGGGAAGCGTGTACGTTGTCACACTCTCTACCTTCCTAGGGTGCTTGGAGGATTCCTATCGACGTTCTTTCTCAATGTATAAACGAGGCTTAGCCTTCGTGTATTTTTAGTCAATTTTGGGTTACTGGAATGATTAAAACCTATGAAGTAAAGGGAAGCGTGTACATTGTCACACTCTCTACCTTCCTAGGGTGCTTGGAGGATTCCTATCGACGTTCTTTCTCAATGTATAAGCGAGAATTAGCCTTCGTGTATTTTTAGTCAATTTTGGGTCACTGGAATGATTAAAACCTATGGAGTAAAGGAAAGCGTGTATATTGTCACACTCTCTACACTCTCTACCTTCCTAGGGTGCTTAGAGGATGGGTCAGACACAACACAGCGACGACTAGGAGACGGTTATCTCGAGGCACTTTTGTTCGAGAATATATTAATATAAACATAAAATAAATTGAAAAGAAATGAGTGTTAGAGATGAAAGAAAGTGGAGAGAAGATGGTTGAAAGTTGTGTATTAATAGTGTCTTTCATGAGTGGCAATGCTATCACACTATCTGATAAAAGAAAAGAATAAGAACAATAATACTAAATTACATCTTCATTTATAGTGGAACTTCTTCAAGTCAACATTCATGGGAAGTTGTCCATATAGAGCTCTTTTGAAATGAATGATCCAAACAGCTCCCAAAAGAATTGGCTCTGCGAAGTAAGTTCATAAATATGCTCCAAAACTACAACTTTTCTGCTATGCTTCCATTGCTTCCATGCTTTTTCTGGTGTTTTTAAGGACCCCTTTTCACATCCAACCAATACCGCTCATGAACTACTACTCTGTACTCGGATAATCCACGCCAAGATCGGCTATAACACGTTCACGACACCTTTGCTAGTGATCGGCTCGACACGCCGTGCAATAACTTCACAAATCCAAGGAAGCTTAGCTTCCCATCCGTGTGTCTGATCCAATCTTGCAGAACGACGTGGAGTGGGATGGCTGGTCCAAGTCCGAGTTCCTGCAATGTTTGAGACGGTAGGGATGACATTTCAGGAAAGAGACCAAACAAGTTTGCAGATATTATGAAACT